CAGCTACTGATGATTCTTCTTTATTATCTTCAATATACATTTTAATATCATCAATAGCTGCACTACTACTATGACTAGTTTCATTATCATTATCAAGTTCAATAAATTCTGATGATGTAGTATTATGACTTGTTTCGATTCTATCATGACTTTCATCATTTTCGAATTGTGGAAGAATGATTGGTTCACGTTGTTTTGGTAATACTGGGACATCGATAAAATCAGATTCTATTGAAAGAAAAAAGAATATATTTTTAGTTGTTTAATTATTTAATATACCATCAGAATCTGATGAAGATTCAACTATATTGGAAATATCATTCTTTTCTTTTATAATCGAATCCTGTTGATCTTCTAATGATCTTTGAATAGCTAATTCTAAATCAATATCCTCTTCATAAGAAGTTCTTTGAATAACTGATTTTTCTATTGGACTTTGTTTTTCTAATTCAAAATGAATATCTTTCTGAACCGGTGATTCTTTCAATAGAGATTGGCTTGTATTTGTCGTTATTGATTGTTCTTTAATAGGTGATGATTCATGAATATTAGTAGGAATTATAGAATCAGTTTCAATGGTTGTACTACGTCGTTGTGTAAATGCACTACAAGGATCTCGATTCATCATACTATCAGCACAAAAATCACTAGTTGATTGACGACTAAACGATGAATTCAATGATGACGTTGATGAAATTGTTGATAAATTTGCCGGTGTAGGTTTTTGTGCAGTATCAGATTTAATAAGAATATATTGTGTAGTAGCATCTGATGCTAATTTACCTGCATAAACTTTAGCATTTGATTCTGTTGGAATATCTATATAGAAATAATTTTCTATAGGATAAGAAATATAGGATAAATGTTTTGTTTTCTACCAAATTTTTGTCGTTTCATAGCTTTATTAAGATTAAAAATTTTTTGTGAAACCAAACTTTGTTTAAGTAATTTTTGCACTTGATAATCTGAAAAATCATCACTTTTCTATATGAAAAATAAAATGAAGGAATTTTTCTTTCTAGATGAAATTGTATAAATATACTTGAGGCATATCTTCAACTTGATGTCGACCACGTTTAAGACCTTCTTTCATATCACTCTAATGAAATAAAAAGTATTCATATATAAATAAAGTTCTTTTTCTTATTATTTTACTAGAATTTCATGTTGCATTTCAACGGGTAAATTATTAAGTGCACTATCATCCAAATCGCTAAACTATAAAATAGATATTTTGAAAAATTTATAATATGGAATAAAAATAACTAACCTTAGGTAGAACATAATGATAATTCGTATTAGAATCCGGTCGTTTTCTTGACCAAGTTGTCCGTTGTTTTTTAAGTTTAACTACTGGTTCAAGTTCAGTATTTTCTATAATATCATCATCGTCTCCTCTATCAAAACAAATAATTAGATTTATTTATTCAATTCAAACGAGCATACTCAATATCATTGTCATCATCATCGACTAATTGTGAACGTAAATGCGTATCTGGCAATTCAAATAAATCTTTTTCTTGATCATCAGTTGGTATTGGTGGTAATGATTCAACTAAAAAATTAGAGAATTGATTTTATACCGTATTATCTATAAATAGCAAGGATTTATCATTCTTTCGATTACTAGTTTTGAACTGAAGGCTACGAAAGATAAAGTTTGACATGAGCATACCAAGGGCGGGGTGCGCCTTCCCTGCTTTTCGATTTTAAGTCAAAAATATGATCTATGTTCACCCTCAACTCAAATTAAATCTGATATTATAGTTCGATCTATTACAATTTGATAAATACTCACTTTCTTCGCCTTTCAATTGTTGAATAGCTAACATTTTTAAATAATTTGTTCGTATTTTATTCTTTGCTTCTTTTGCTTTTGTTGCAGCTACATCTCGTCGTTGCCGTCGTTCAGCCCAAAATACAAAATAGAAACAATACTTCTATATTTTCAATATTTTGACTTACAAGTGTTCGTCGTTTTAATTCAGGTACTCCACCATCAAAAATAAATATTGGTTTAATTTTAAAATGTAATAATTTACAAATACGATGTAATAATAAAAGTATATGTGGATTTTGTCTATCACGCATGCCTTTAGCCGCTTGATGTAACCAAATACTAATATCTGTTTGAAAGAAGTATACATATATATTTACATAAATGTAAGATTATTGTATTTTGTTTTCTTTTTTAACAAAAAAATAATAATCTTACCAATTGCTAATATTTTTCCTTCTAAACCTTTATTCATATTAACCGGTCGACCGGTTGATTCAATTAATTGCCAAAAATTTTGTACTCCCATTGTCTTTTTTTTTCTATAAAATCAATAAAATCCTTTTTTTTCTCTTTTGTTGTTCAGAAAAAAAAACAATAAAATTTCAATCATCATTCATCATATAGCATGAAGATAAATATAAAGAATGAAATAAAATTAAAAAAAGAAGAAGAAGAAGAAGAAGAAGAAGAAGAAAGAACAAGACAAAAATATTAACGTATACATATACGATTGATTTGAAAGATATTTTATTTACACTTAGTAATAAAATGATGAAGATATACTGTGTCTATCCTAGATATTAACTCATCATTAGAATTTTGAAAAAGAAAAACGAAGTGTATAGTGAAAAAGAAATTTAACTCAAATCAAGTTTAAATACACAATTAGTATCCTCCTGTTCATTTTGACCAATTGAACATAATTGTAATGAATTAATTGTTTGTTTACCAAATGAAATTTCTTTGGATTCATTTTGACATATTGAAGAAAATTTTCGTTTACATTTTAATAATGTTATATGTGGAATAAATTCATAATAATTTCCAGCAAAAAAAATATTTGATAATTTCTGTTTTTGTTGTTGTTCAGACAAACGTTCAAGTATTAATGTACGTAAATTTTCTAAACGTTGATTTTGTTTACATTTAACATATAACACTTTATCATAAAATGTTTCAATACCATCAAATTCTAAACATATATGTTCAGGATATGAACAATGATAATGAATTTCTTCTCGAATTTGTTTTAATGCTAAAATACATTGATCAATATCAGACTTTGATTCAATATATAATGTTAATAATGTTAGATGAAGACGAGGTGGATCGTCGGATGAATTTGTACGTAAAGAAAAACATGTTGGATAAGATAAAAGTAAATGATCACGATATGATATATAATTTTTAATAACAGTTGGATCACTAATCGGTATTGAAAGATAATAATTTGGTTTATATGCACCATCAGTTAATGTTAAATAACGTGGTAAAGGAGTTGATATATCTCCGTCTTCGATTATATTATCATTGTCAGATGTTCTAATTGATATAAAGAGAAAAAATAATGAATATTTAAAATAAACGGGGGTGGTCGAAAAATCATTAATTTTAATGCACGCTAGAAATGACCTGAGTCTGGTATTGGGTAGTTCCATGGGATGTCAAACATAAAATACACAAATTATTTAGAAAATTTTCTTTCTCCTCAAATTTTGTAGAGCTTTTCCCGCTGATCATTTTCGTATAAGGAAGTTTTGGATTCTATCGAGAAATGACGACGCTATCGTCAAAATAAAAAATCTAGTAAAAATCCATTTTCTACCTTATAAAATATGGGAAAAGGTCTAATCTCGAATCGGCCATATTCCGAAGACATATGACATAGTAGGTTTTATAGAGCTCAATTTTCTCTACAAAACCTACTATGTCATATTTTACAAGGAAAAATGGGATTTTAAGCTATTTTACTATGTTTTTTATTTTGACAATAGCGTCGTCATTTCTCGATAGAATCCAAAACTTCCTTATACGAAAATGATCAGCG